GTCGGCTTTGCTGAGATCTTTGCTTCGGGTTTGTGCTTCCTTCTGTAGGTTCACCTTTTTGCCCATAAAGCAGCTCTGCTCTTTTCAGAGATGATCCCTTCCTGAAAGACAGGACATTCCAGCTATGCTGAGGTTGGTCTCCTTTGGAAATGAGTGGCAGGTGAGCACTTTTAGTCTACGTGAGCGTTAGGTGATCGTGATATATCGTGATTGGCTTGAGCCAATCGACCACCTTGTCACCTTCCTGGGTCTCTCAGTGCTCCATCGATTGAGTGTGCATCAGTTTCATTGATTCGTGCACATAAGAAATGTAGAGTTGTAAACATCAGTCTACCTTGGCGCCTTGCAACACACTAGTCCTCGCAGCTTCTCGCAGCTGGTCGTTGATACAGATGGAAACACCAAACGCATCGGAGGGTCACTGGCTGTTCCAGATCAGCCCAGCCGACTTGGACGCCCTCACCACGTGTGCGCTGGGCGCTAGGTCTTGACAGCTTGTCCATGGTCGAGTTCCGAAATGAGCTGTTGAAGGCTGGGCTTGGTGTTTAATTGAAGGTTGCAAGGACACCCGTATGAACCCATATGATATATAGTTATATATACCATCTTGTGAAGTTGGCCCTAGAGGATCTTGGATCAGTGTGACTTTGATTATTTTGCTAGGATGTGCGAGGAAAGATCTCTGTGTTTTTGCGTTGGATGTTGATCCTTGGTAGCACCCGATGTTTGCATCCCATTGGCCAGGAGTTCCCGGGCATCTCATTACCCGGCGCCTTGCTCTTCGACTATCCCACGGCGCGGTGGATGCATGCGGCGGATGCAGAATGATGGATGGGTGATATTGGCAAAAGACCATGCGCCTAGCTAGTCGATGGATTCGATAGCCATTGCATGTATTTCTTCGTGTTGGTGTGGCATAGTTGTTGATCAGAATGGTGACCTTTTTGTGGATCTCGAACTTGGAAACACCGTGCACCGCCTGAAACAGTCATCCTTGAGAACAATCCTTGAGAACAGAAACAGTCGCCCTTGCCGGGACGATCCGGCATGTCAGCAATTACAGTGCCCGGGAACGGGGCTAAATGGGCTTAAGAAAAAACCATATGACTATTAACTAAGTGGTGAGTTCATATGGTAAATAGTCAAATAGTCATATGCATAGTATATTATCATATTCATATCACTAAATGGGCTACAATGTTGGATCTTGATTAATCAACCCCCCCCCCCTCAACAATTGAGACTCCAGAATAATATGCTAGAAAACCAATCAATTGATAAATAAATAAGGAATCCTTAGCTTGCTACCTCTGGAGCTACTCTGGCAATACTAAAATGAAAGGAATCATTGCTTAGCTATCTCTGGCAATACTAATTGAAAGGAAGTCTGCAATCAAAAATAGTAAGCCAGAGAGGAAACATAACTTATATAACAACAAAAAATAACAAAAAACTATCCCTCCAAAAAAAATATGACATTATTCTGGGGGCCTTTATTAATCAGTGCAGGAACAAAGGTAATTCTTCTGGGGTACTTTATTAATCCAGGTTCAACATTAATTACTGTTGAGTTCACCAGCGAAACCGTCAGCACAGCGAAACCGTTTGAACTGAACCGGGGCGGAACTGGAACCGTGCTCCGATGGAGGTCAACTCTCTGCGAGATTTCATCTACCAGACCATCATGGACAGCTGACCAAGGCGCCGGTGTTGTGTTCAAACGGATGAAGGACGACAGGAGCCCCTAGGCCCGATGGGCGTTCTCGGAAAGCGTTCTCAGAGAACGCCTGTTGCTTTACTGTAGCTATCAATCTAGCTACTGTAAGCTTGTTGATGTTGGAATCCACACTGACATACCTGGCATCACATCCACCACACGTTGGGCAGGATGTTCTTTGGAGGTAGATGTCCATTCAGCCCTTGATTGACCATATAACGATTCGGATATATTCAGATGCACAAATCCACCAAAATTCATTTAGGCTACAGGCTACTTAATTTGATCATGGTATCAAGAGAGTTGGTGGGGCTGAGGGTCAACCTAATTATACTTAGATTGTCCAACGGTCGACGTTTGAAGCCTCACGTGACACCTTTGGAACACGCCAATGAACAGCGGCAGGTTTGCGACTTGAACGAAAGCCCGTGTCATCACTTACGCAAACCAATGCGCACTTTGGATTACTTTGGCTGCCTCATGAAATTGCTTGAGAGTGTTGACTTGCGAAATGCCAGAATTAAAGGTTCAAGCACTCATATGAATTAGGTGTTCCTGCTACTGCAGAGGTGTGGGTGTTGGATTGCCAGCAGTGGGCCCATTTGGCCTGTGTCAAACTAGGTGAACTTGCACAAGACGCTAAGAAAATCATGGCAGAATGAAATCTGGTGGGTGCCCCTTCTTTTGAGACAAGTCCTTGCAAAAAGCTTAAAGGAACGACATCTCTTTGGTTTTTGGGGGGAACCGGCACCAATATCCACAAGACCACAACAGCTACTGTATATGCTTTGGTGAAGCATTTTTCAGTTTCAGGTGTTCTTGCGACTTTTGTAACAGGGAAATGGTATGGAGTGATCAAGCATGCTGTGCCTTTTATTTGTATGTTAGGTCTCAAGGTCGGTTGGTCAACTCATGTCCGCAGACATTGGCTCAGCTTAGATCGCCATGCCCTAGCATTCCCGTCGGGAGACTCGCACCTGTCACACGGCCCGCAGAGCACGAGGTAGGGGTGTTCTCGTTCCGGATTGTTCAGGTACCTCAACACCAGGTGCCCAGGGGTTGAGGTTCCGAAGGGCAGTGTATACCTTTACTATCCTTTACCGAGCTTGACTGCCCGTACAGCGGCGAATGGGTGCGAACGTTCGGGCAATTCACCGGGCAATTCACGGTGAATCCAATCATATTGAATCCATGTTGTGACACTAGAGTGATTCATGTGGACTTCCCTGGTTGGTTTTCCATGTTTGTTCCTGTTCAATTTGGATCGAGGGCCCAACCGTCTTGCAAGGGATCGAGGTGAGCTCAATCGAAATCTATGTGCGCTCGATCACCGTCAGCTCAACGGCAACTCTCCACTTAAGATACTTATATAAGTTAGCTTTGCCATCCACCAAAGGCATGGGGCAGATCGTCACATATTGTTTCTCTCTTAACGGCGCTGCTCGCAGCGCGTCCCGAAACCACCAAACAACGAGGGCAGGTTCAGGCTTGGAGGTCACCAGCCTGCAGGCTCCCGCTCGTATACTGTTGAAATAGATATTTGGGAGTGGGTATCATAGTATGGACCATCTCTACGTGCGACGTTCAACAACCGTGTTTTTTCAATGAACCGAGATGAATCCGTTCAACACAGCGAAGTCAGCGGTGGAAGGAGATGAAAGGCAGGCCCAGGTGCCTAGATTCCTGGTTCCAGGCCATGAATCCAATGATGGGTGGAGGCGCGGCTGGAGCCACGGGGAGGACGGGGAGGTGCCACGGGCTGTGACAGTACCATGTAGCAAAAGAGGCGCACCAAGTGACCAACGCGTGACTCTAAGGTGGTAGGCGATGATAGGTTGTGACAATCGGAAACAATTGAACAAAGAGAGAGAGAGGGAAAAAAAAGGATAGTGAGAGTGAGCGCGTGTGCCAAAAAGATTCCCATCCCCCAACCCGAAGCCAGGAGTTTCGATCCTTTTTGATCCTCTCCTTGCTTCTAGCACATGGCGCACATGTTACAAGCTATCCTTTCCAGGTGTGCGTTGCGTAGGTCGGGTCACGATGGGTTTTTCGGTGACTGGGTCGTGTAGGTCGGGTCCGCGGTCGGACTTCTGCGGAACGTGCCAGCTGCCTTTGGCAAATTGGGTCCCCAGATGGGAATGAGTCAAAACCTGGAGCCAGGTTCCACCATGTAGCGAACGACCTCCCACGTAGTGAAAAACCATGGTCAACCGAGGTATTCTGGCGCCATGACCCACAGCCATATGGCTCAATGCTGAACCATCTGAAACCAACGTAGACAAAACATCTTGGCAATCTGTGGCGACACTTGATGACGTCCGAGCTCCGAAAGGACCCAAGGGCCAGGCCCATAATCCATGGTTCCTTGACAGAGCCGCACGCCCATACACAAAGCACGCAGCACCTCATAACAAAGCGCACGCAACATGTGGAACACATCAAGTGCAGAAGACTGCGCTTTGCTAGGTTTGCCATGGACCCCCGAAATCTTGTGGTGTGGAGGCTTCCTGCCATTCTGAAGCCTTTATTGTTCAGCTAGTCCACCAGGCAGTTCCTGTCACCTTGTTCAACTTCAACTCAGAAGCTAAGACTATGCATGTACAGTGTAAGATTGGACAGGGTCAGACAGAGCTTGAAGCATTTTGCACCCACCGCGGGTCATGGAGTCACGGTCAGCCACCGCGGTTTAGCTAGTGGTTTGGAGATGGAGGCCGAGCGCAGAGGGCATTTCCCTTGAAGGGAGCCCAGCTATCTAAGATGTAAGGAGCTCTGTATAGGGAGTTTCCCTTAGCTCTACGTCGTTGGGATTCCCATTCATCACCAGATTCATCACCCTGCCCGCCATGGAACTTCATGTGTGCCTCCTCAGCGGCCGTTCGGTCTCTTTGACCACCGCGCTGGACGCCAGTGTCAACGATCTCACCGCCTCGGCGCAGAGCGCCTTCCGGCAGGGCTTCTTGAGCTTTGGACTCAGCAGTGGGAAGAGCGGGTGAGGATGAGCTTTCGACCATACCATACTGGGGGCATTCGTCGATCCTTTTTTCAGGATGAACCGAATTCATGGTGAAGGTGATGACATGATACTGCAGGTCATGGGTCACAGCAGGCCTCAACCCATGACATGAGAGTTGCAACGTCAAAGACCTTCAGGTTGTTGCAACTCGTCCGTTCACTCTTGGCAAACTCTAGATCTACTGACCGGGGTTTTCAATATGTCCCTTGACCAAAAATTCATTAAAAAAATCCTTGATCGAATCTCAATGAATCTCACACCGAAAAGAAGATGACAAACGATGCCAATCCAAAGCACAAGTGGGGATCGGGGTGGCTAAGAATGGACACAAACAGTAACAAATCTTTTGCCAGCTTCATGCTTCTCCTGTTTGCCACCAAAACCACCACCACCGACTTGGTGAGTTCTGACCCTCACCGCACCAGGAGGCTCACGAACCAGGAGGGCGACTTTTTAGACCCCGCACCCTGGAGGAGTCGACCGGGTGGGACCGAGTCGAGTCGATGCACCCAGACCTCTAAGCAGCGAAACTGAGTCAAGGCGCTCTCGAGGCTGGTGCTTAAGACAGCAGCTCCTGGCGCATCAGGGAGTCAACTCTCTTTCGTGTTCAGAACGCTTCTCACAGAAGAACGGCCTCTTTTTGAAGATACGCATTGGTACCACCGGGACATGTTTTCACAACCCTTGCAACAAGTCGCCACGGATGGTCGCACCTCAAGCGGTCGATGTTTTTGTCCGTGACAATTCACCACTCCACACTGGCCAAAATGGACGTTCCCATTGGACCGTGGCTGATCCACGTTGCTTCCGAACCGGAAAGACGAAATACATCGAAATACCGTTCTTCCTGAAGAAATAGCCCTCTCACATCACAGAATCGTGCATGATGGCATTGCCAAATTGCCTTACTCATTGCAGGCCAGGTGGACTGCATTTCCTCTCCCAGCTGAGTAGCGGTGAGCACTTCAACCGCTGTTCCTCTCCGTTTTCGAGGCCTTTTCACTACGGGAAGCTGGATTGAAGAATGGAGACACCTTAATGGCCGCCCGGCCGGAAGGAGGTCGTGGTCCAGGGAGTGAGTGGTGAGTGGTCGTAGTCATGTGCGGTCGCAGCATGGGAGTGCATGTATTCATGTATTCATCTACACACCCATGCTGCGCTAGAAGCAATAGCTCCAAATTCCACAAAACTCAGCGCCAAGCTTCAAGCAAGCAAGGGTACTTCTGCGCTTGACCCGTTTTGGTTGACTGAGGGAGCGTAGAGGGACGGTTGGCGAGCAGCAGAGAAACCAAACGCCTCTAAGGGCGGCCCAACTGAAACAGCATGCAGCCTGTCTTTGCAAAGTGCAAGTGAAAAAAAAAGAATGGAGCCCATGTTGGTATTTGACCATTTTGGCTCATCCAGGTTTGAATGCAATGGCCAATGGCTGTTAGCACGAAGGGACGCGTAACTGAGAATCCCCCACTGAAGAGTTGGACCATTCAGAGTAGATCTTGATGGCGCGACAGGATGAGCTGCAGACTTTCGGCCAATGAATTCACATGACATTAACGCATATGAAAGGTCTTGCACCTTTTGTTTTTTTCATGCGATCTAATTCAAAGTGTCTTCAGGATTTGTAGAGGATGCTCCAACAGGACATGATCTTCTGAACGGCCACAACGGGTGCCGTTCCGACCCTGAGGCGATTGCGCAAAACGCACGGATGGTCGCAAGCTCGGAGCCTCGTTGCAATGGACCTCCAAAGGAAGAGCCTTTTATCATTAAATTTTACGAAAGCCAGCCGATAGGATAGGTTGAAGTTAGTGCTGCGAATGAAGTTCGTATCAAGGAGAATCCCTCGGCCGGCGGCCAAGAAAGCTATTTTTGGTGGCTTGGTGATGCCAAAGATGCAAGGTGATGGAGGCATGAGATTGACACGAGAATGTTGCTGAACGATTTATGTATCCATGCACATACACATCTATAGAACATGCCTCATACCAGTCACTTGCTTTGCATACAGATTTTGGTGCTCACTCCAACCTTCTCCAGTTGGAGCGGATCATACGTTCCACAACCTACCGGCCGCCATATGTAGGGTACAGGTTCCAGGTGCTATCGGCCGCCATATGTAGGGTACAGGTTACAGGTGCTATCTTTGCCAATTTTGCAGCCATATTGGTGCTATGTAGGCCCATTTTGGAGCATGTTGGGGCTATGTTGACCCATGTTGGGGCAGAGAACAAGCAGAAGCAGAAAGTGCTAATAATGCAAGGGTACTCGGGTAGCATATCTCGCACCACGAGCCTGTGAAAACGACCTCGCGGCCATCAACATATCAAAACGTTGAGGCGGCTATGTTGATCCTTCTTGGATTGTTTCTTTAATAATGCCCTTCATGCACGCTCTGCCCTGCGAGTTTCCAGTGCCGTATAGAACACACCCGCACTGGGTCGGCAGCTGCGGGCCCATCCCCAACCCTAGGCCTGCCCGGCCGGGGCTTGTGGCCGACGGCAACGGACAGTGGCCAAAAGACTTGTGCAAAGAAATGTGCTTTTCATTTGCTGAGAGGTCTTGATTGGGGGAGGCTAACCTTGCTGCTTCCCGATGGGGGATGGGGGTTGACTCACCTCTATTGTCCTGGCTACTGCTGGTTTGCATCATTTTGCATTGATTACCGAAGAGAACCTGCTCCATATGTCTACTACCTCCAAAGAAGGGGGAAACGAAAGCCAGGACAAACATGCAGGGGACTTCTTCCGCGCGCAGAAATGGTCACATGGAGATGGCTGAAGGCTGGGTCAGCTATATCTTTTAAAAACTATTGTTGGCATTTGGCTTTTGTTGTTGGCTCGGAACCGCAGGTGACGAAGACGCGTTTGTTAGGAAAGGTTATAGGAGGTATAAACTCTTGGGAACTTTGTATCGAAAAACATCGAAGAACAATATATATAAATATTATATGCAAACATTGAGGACAACGCAAGAAAGCACGATGTTTTTCGCTCATACTTCTTGTTTTTCTGGACCTGGCTCAATCCCCGGCCCCTCTGACTGTGACATCCGAAGAAAATCAGTTTTAGTTTTATGTTGTTCCTGCGTGCAAGGTGTTTAAATGCAACAATATCAGCCATAAGTATGACATAACTGAAATCTGCATACTCTCTGTCAGGATTCTGTCCAGTTGCTGAATGCACGCAGGTACTTAGGTTATACCCTCTCGATGCTGAGGGGTGGTCGGTCATTTTGTGCAACAATCCCCCAAAAAATTTCCTTTTGAACAGACGACCTGATCTTTGGCCACTCAGCCTGAGCCTGGACATCCGGGCCTCCGTGGAGGGTTGGTTCGCTGAGGATGCCTTTGCACTCTGGTGCTGTGGCGGGCGAGTGGTCACCTGGGGCGCCAAACGCGCAGGGGGAGACAGCACCATGGTGCAGGAGCAGCTGAACAATGCCGCTAGGACAACAATTGGTGGTGATGCGTTTTTTTGGGGCGTGGGAGTTGATCCACTCTGGTCAATCGACTCCCCCGAGACTGGGGCCATGGTTTTTCATTGGTGCCAAACACAAGAGTGCCACCCAGGCACACCAAAAGTTCAAAAACACGCAGGCTCTGGAAGACTCTTGCGGCTCATTTGGCGTGCAAACAACAGAGTCAACCAGACTTTTGACCGGTGGGTGTTGACCCCGATCCATGTCTAGTATACTTTGTCTCCCACAAAGTTTTTGAATATATTAGCCCCAGCCCAACGAGTGAGCCTCAAAAAGGTGCGCTGGGCAAACAATGAGGCTGCATGCAGCTATTACGCTTGAGATTGCCATGGCATGAAAGTACGAAATGGATATGACAGGATATCTCTTGGTTCCCACCTCCTTCGGCTTTTCTTCGGGATCTTCCGGACTCCTCGAAACGGCCCTTGTTTGAAAGGTCGTCTTCCACGCTCCGCATGGTCTAAGGTTCAAGAGATCAAAGCCTCCGACTGGGCCTTTGCAGCCTTGCTGGCCTCTGGCTCGGTGGTTTGCTGGGGCGACCCCGAGTATGGTCTTTCGACCGGAGGGCGATGGTTGGGCAAGAGGCGATGGTTGGGGCGGAAATCCCTGAAAAGCGACACCCATGAATCCACATGACACATATATATGTTTTAGTATGTTTTAGTGTTTGGCGGGTGAGGGTTGTGAGGCACATCGAGCCTACAAAGACTTCGATGGACCCTGAACTCTATACAATATGGAAGCGGGGGTGGTGGTGTGGTGGTTTGTGCCACTCAGTGCCGCCCATCCTACCCCTCTCCGTGCTGGCTGAGGTGGCGATTGTGGCCGGGTGGAAGATCAGCTCCAGAAGCTTGAGCTAATGTCAATGTCAATGACTGTGAATGATTGTGTGTGTACAACTGTGAATGTGTGGTATTGTACTTACTAATGTCATATGTGTCACTGTGAATGACCATAATATGACACATATGACTGACTGTGGCATTGTGGCCGCAGGTCTTGCTACAATCACCTCACCACTAGGAAATTGAGCAGCTGTATCAAGTTGCATACCAAAAGAGTGTGATGCAAAAAGCAATGAGTGACACCAGAGTACCGCCACTATACTGTACCGCCAGAGTCTCAGAATTGCAACAGCTGGTCTTTATAGGGACCTCGTGACATGTGGTAGATGGCTCGCCGTGTTCAAAAGCCGGCGATCGCATGTCATGGAGAAGCTTCCCAGTTGACTTCCCTCCACTCACCGGTCCCATCAGGAGAGTGACGCAGATCCAGTCCACGGCCGGTGCTTTTAGTGCCATCCTAGACGATGGAGCTGTGATTTCCTGGGGCGACCCGAACCATGGTGGAGACAGCAGCTGGATCGCTGCCTGGCAAGGTGGGTATGGTCATGGCCGCGGAATCGGGCAGTGGTTTCCAGCCGTCCGTTAAGACGGTGATCCTGGCCGTCCAAGAATGTTCAGGCCAAATCCTGTGTTTGTCTTTCGGACCTCTAGAATGACAAGGCGGCCAGGGAAGACTCTTGAATTATAGGACCAGGCCCTGTGGATCCCGATCCCGGGAAAAGTGGAACAGGCTGATGAATCCAGTTTGCATGGGGACCATACGAAGGATTTAGAAAATGTGGGCTTTGGGAGGTTCGGATGAGATCAAAACCCGCAAACCTCCTCCAGAATCAATCAGAATAATTGGATTTGTTGAAAAACAGCTCCAGACACCCCTTGCAAGAAGATCACCACATCCACAACCCAAGACTCAGGCCTTTGGCTACAAAGCAATTTCCACTCGGACCTTTTGGAGTCTGTCTGGGTAGATCTTTTTACTACAAGTGTTCACTCAGAGTATAGTATAGTATATATATATATACTGTAGTTGGATAAAGCTTGACTTTTCTTCACTATTTTCACAGAAGCTCCCAGGAAGATGAGCTTCAAGAGGTTCATCAACTTCAATCTTCCTACCGTGCCTTTGCTGCGCTGCTGTTGGATGGCTCAGTTTGTGCCTGGGGTGACCCTGCCTTTGGCGGGGACTGTCAGCAGGTGAGAGAGCAGCTGGTGGATGTGTGCGCGAGGCTTGGCAGGAAAGAAAACATGCACCTTCACAGAGCCGAAAGTTCCTGAAAAAACATGGGCGCGGCAGTTCTATTGTATCAGGTGATGAAGTTGAACATAGAACGTGAAAACCACCTGTTTGTGGAGGAAGACATCTTCCAGTGGTCCATTGTCAGGTTGTATAAATATATGTTTAAGGTCAAGGAGTAGTATACCTAGTTTTTGGTCATGCCATGTCCCATGTGATTGGGCAAGTGCTTGGTGGTGCGGCTTCTCCCAACCAGGTGATGATCAAGTAGATCAACGGAATAAAGCACTCATGGGCCTGTGGCTTTTCACCTGAGACCTGTTCATTGCAAACCGTTGTTGGTCAAAACAAAGCCCCCAAATCACTGACTTTTTGTGATCATATGCGGATTGACATGTTGGGCTACACCACAGATCGCCACAGTACCAAGATAGGTTGGCAAAGACCACTAGAGACAAGACAAGCATTGCAATACATTTAGCAACCTTTTGCCTCGATTTGCTTCAAGTGACACATGTGTGGCATGCGCGGCACGGCTGAGGATTCAGTCGAACTTGGGTGCGTTCGCAGCCATTCGACGAGATGGGTCAGTGGTGACCTGGGGAGATGCCGAAGGTGGTGGCCAAATGAACTTGGCCCTGCAAGGCGGGAAGAGTTCCAGCTAACGAAAGCAAACAACTGAGTAGCGACGCAAAAGGAGGAATCATAAGCGGTCTCCGTCAGTTGTGATACGTTGTGATGTACGGGAAGCTCATGCGGATACTCAGAATACATGTCTTCTCTTGCTGGGCGTTGCTTCTGGTCCGGCGAGGTTTGAAATTGCATTGAATCCTATTCACCATCAAACATGTTCAGATCTGTTTCTGAGAGGTTGCTAAGGTTCCTTCAGAGTGTTTGAGTCTACTGGCTTCTTCCGCATGAATGAAAAGGATGGAAATCCAGCCTAATGCTTTAAAAAATTTTGTGAGAAAGCTCCACAAAGCTTTTTGTAGTGTGAACATGTGTGAACATGTTCAAAGAGTTGTATGCGGCTCCCTATGGCACGGCCTAACCCCCACCAGGCGAGCTACGACACGTTTGCTGCATCCAATCGACTGCCTGGGCCTTCGCAGCGGTCGCGGGTGCCACGCGGCGTGTGGTGACCTGGGGACGCTCGGGCTACGGCGGCGATTTGGCCCAGCAGCTGGAGGTGGAACATGGCTGGGCATGGTCGAGTCATTTTGGGGGGCCTTCCGTGTGATTGGATCGATATTATTTGGGTCAACACCCGCTTCCAGGGGAAGTTGATCTTCTGTCCAACGTCATGTCTTCGGTGGGGATGTGGGTGTTCATTGTGCAAGTATTTTTGTTGGCTGCTACTGCTACTGCTTCTACAAGGACTGCTAGGGTGCCTATTTCATGACATCCATCCGCTGAATAATTTGATCGATTACCGGCTGGGCCAAGTTGGCCTATGATCGAGTAAGCCAAATGTTGCAGTTGCCCACAAGATCCATCAATCTGATTACTGATTACAATATACTTGTTTGAACCATTGAAAACCAGAAACAAGGCAGAGGCTCACCTTGTGTTGTTGTATGTTGCTGTGATGCCTTTTGGACACTCCCATCAATTTGGTGAGGTCCTCATTATTTAGCATCAGGGACGATGGAACACTCTTGCTGCTAAGTGGAATTTAGTTGAAGTCATTTTCCAGTGTAACCTTCTACCCTTGGAGAACTGACGTTTTCCACGGGTGGCATCACCTGCAGCAGGTCTGGCTGGGCAACTAGTTAGTAAGTAGACAAAACAAGGGGGTGGCCTGAGACACTTGCTTTTGCCATTGGCCTCCAGGGTGTCCTGGAAATCCAAGCATCAGAGCGTGCCTTTGCTGCGCTGCTCAAAGATGGCGCCTCGGGTTTTCACAGTTGCTGAAGGAGCAAGATCCAAGCCAAGAGTCTTCAGTGTCCCATTATTGGCAGATCGGATGGCACTATGGTTAGAGTATAACAGAATACCCCTTTTTGGCTCAGTGCTTCCTCCAACACAGCCCCCGCCGTCATGGCATGGCGGAAATCAACCAGAGCCAGGAACAAGGTGATAATCAAGAGCCAAATATTTGTAATGGGGGTTAACCTACAAAGCTGTCCATGATTGTAGGAACTATATTTATAATGCTACCCAATAAATAGTACAGATATATGTGTATATAGATCTATCTCGAGACCCATCCGGTGGACTACTTACGTCCAACATTGAATTCCGGGATGTAGTTGTTGAGATGCTAAGAGTTCTCAGAAAGGACCACTCACTCACCCACCCACTCACTCTCTCTCTCTCTCTCTCTCACTCGCTCATTCACTCACCCATGAGCCTGAACTGAGAGTAAGGCAAAGGAAAGCATGATCCACTCCAAAATTAGAACCACTCCCTCACCAGGCCAATGTTGGTGTTACTCCCTCACCACTCGCAGCATCGAACCAATTCAATCAGTCACCGTTTGGACTCGACTCGTCGGGCCCTCAGGGCGTGTGGTCACCTGGGGGTTTCCTGGCTTTGGCGGTGACAGCAGCAGGGTCCGAGATCAGCAGCTCGGCGAGATTCGCTGGGCGGGTTGGTTCCAAGCCCTCGCACCCGACTTGGCTTGATCTTTTTGTGAAGGGCCTATATATACTTACATAATTATATATATATATACAGTTCTCCTCCTTAATTTCGTCAACATGAGAACTCCGCGTCTTTTGTTCTGGACTGTGGAGCCCAGACTTGAGAGGGTGACTCCCTTCGGCTTGCAACACCAGAAGCACAAACTGGTGGTGATTTTTTTCCATATGGAGTTGCCTGCCGTCCCAAGAAGAGAATCAAGCCTACGGGGATTTATCTCACTGTCCACCCAGACCAGCCAGCATAGATTTGTGCGAAGAGATGCGCTATTGGTGCATCTTTTACATGCATATCTCAAGATTCAGGGTTCAGACTACAGCAAGGCTAGCTATGCAAAACAACTCAAAGTTCTTGTAAGTATATGCGATTCTCTTGAAAGTAGTGCAAGAAACTTGTGGATTTCAGAAAGATTTGGACAGCTTCGGAAGGGATCAAGTTTGGCCATTGGAGGTATTTGATTTATGATGATTTATGAAATGGAAAGGCCCGGCAACCACCAAGAATGGTTTCGTTTAAACATATTGGACGTTTTTTCGCCATCCCAAGGCTCTATGACGTGCACCAGATCCAGTCCACTGTCGCCGCCTTCGCCGCGGTGCGCACCGCAGCCCGACTCGACCCGGCCGGGCCGTGGATGGCATGGCCATGGCATGGCCCTGATGACTCGGATGACCATGTGTGAAATCCGAAGACCATGACTCAGTGTGAACCTCACCTTCGATTGTTCCAGGGAGTGCAGATGTCCTGGAATTGTGTATATATATATATAGTATTTTATATAGGATCATGATGAGTCAAGAACTCTACAACTTTGCATGGCAGAGTCCTCCAGTCTGCAAAAGCAGGATCCTCCAGCAAAGTAAACCAACATGACACCACCTGGTATAGAAAGCGGGAAGTCCAGTCCAGTCTTGAGTCTTCCAACTATTTCGAGGCATGTTTTGTTGAGTCTTATGATGTTCGGTTATGCTGTGTCTCAAAAAGAGGACTTGCCAGAAAGAACCTGGACCTGGACATTTACTTCCTTCTCCGTTTTGAGACCTCCCTTCAAGACCCAAGGCGAAAGGAAAGTCTTTTGAAAGCTCAAATGGGGCATCTCTAGACCTAACTTCCTCAGGATGGCTCAGTGGTTACCTGGGGTGACCCCGAGCACGGTGGCGACAGCAGCAACCTCCAGGAGCGGCTCGGTATTTCGAGACAGCACTAGCTTTGGATCGGTATGTTTGTTTGTTTGGATGACAGGTGTATGCCTCTTGCCCGTTCCAGGAGCGCTTGGTGGAGGTCCAGCAGATCCAGTCGACCTTGAGCGCCTTCGCAGCGCTGCGAAAGGAGATTTCTCTTCCGGGGTGTTGGATGCATTTTCGTCAGAGATTGAAGGGCACCTCGGTTTCAGGATGGGTCCAGTTTACTGCTTTGGGGATCTTTTGGGGCTGACGTTCTCAAGTGGTGGGCTGTAACTTGCGGACCCACCATCTTGCACCACTCTGAGTCAAACAGAGTCTTGGCTTCGTACTGCGCAGTGGAACTGATGATCCGAACATCTATATACACAGATGTTGGTGCGCCATCCACGGCAACAGGATGGCTCAGTGGTGACCTGGGGCAGTCGCTATGGAGGTGGTGATAGCGCCAAGGTGCAAGATCAGCTGAAGAGACTTGGTGGTGCTTTGATAAAAACATGATACTGGATATACCGGGTGCTCGCGGCTAGAGAGAATCCTAGGTTTAGTTGCCGGTGGAAAAGGACAAATCCTCAGGATTTCAGAGCAAAGCAGCTAAGACATGGGAGGATGACATGGAGCCACGAACATCAACCAGCCTCCGCTAGGAAAAACCGACCGAGACTGGTGCCTCAGGTTTCTCTAGCATCATCTAGATCACGTCCTAGCAATTTGCTCATCATGATGTCAGGTCCTGTTGTTGTGTGCCATACTTGTTTGGGATGCTGGGCCACAGTCCAGCTTGAACCTCCCAAAGCCTTACCCAAACTACACGGTAATTTGATATTTGGAACTTGGCAACGACACGATCGAAAGCACAGGGAAACTTCCCACAGCCACACCAGCACTTGCAGACACGCAGACACGGAGGGAGCGGGATCGGGAGAGAGAGAGAGAGCCAGTGAGCCATCCGGGGGCTCTCGCATGGCAGCGCGGTCGTCTCTGAGGGATGTCCAGCAGATTGCGGCCTCCAGAGACGACTTCGTGGCCATGACGCTGGAAGGTGAGGTCTTTCGACGGACTCGAGGGTTTCGGGACAAGCCCACATGTCTTTTGGTGGAAAGATTTGGACAGATTCGGAACGGATCATGGTAGCCAGGTAGCCAAGCCATAAAGCTCATGACTTCGGGAATCTTGTTGGAACATGTTCGAACTGGTGTGTATATCACATAATTTCACATCTAATGTTCGCTACTAGGAACAAGTGCATCGCTTCTAGTAACAAGTGCCTTACTAG